ATATATTATTCATTATTATTTTCTTAACACACTGTTTCTCAATTATTCCGCCTATCACGAACCCGATCCGACAAGCGATTCAAACCCGCAACGAATTGCGGGTTTCTTGTGGAAACATAGTACGAATTAAGGGGAGATATACACCTAGGAGCCGGAAAAAAAGGTCATCTTTGTGAATTTTTTTAAAGAAAACTATTTGAAATTTTGAATTGGGGGTTTTTCTATCTAAAAGCATACACATTCAGGAATATGTCCAATTTTTTTTATTAAAAAAAATCAAAAATTGACGAGGTTGTGGTATAATCTTTGGAGCGCCGTAAAAAAATCCGGGTAAACGGTACCCACTGGCGTTTCTTCAAAAATCATCTGAAACAAAAAAACCAAAAAGATTATTAAATTAGATACTATAATCTAGTACTTGTCATAGCCGATTTTGAAAATATCGATTTATGACAAAATGGCGGACGTTTGAACATAACATAGCGATTTTTCGACCAAAAATTAGTTATTATTTTGCCTATAAAACAAAAACTAAGCAACGAAAAAAAAATCCTATGACAAGTACTAGATAATGATGTATAGAATAACCACAAAAAAATTCAAGGCAATCGGTTCATTGGTTTTCGAGAAATTTTGGGTACCGATTTGAAAAACGTGGTTTTGAGAAAAACGCGTTTGAAAATTTGGGAATGAATAAATCATTAAATTTGTCAACTTACATGGAATCATCGATACCAGGCCCATAGTGTAAGTCTTCTACGGTCGACGGAATGTTCATATTTTCTAAATTTTGTTGTCGGCGCCGTATTCGACCTTCTTTAGTCTGTTCTTGCGCTTGCAGCTCGGCTTTCGCTATGCGAGTTTCGTCTTCTTGCGCAGCGTACAAGTGCGCGCCCGATCCGACTGATATTCCTAATACGTTCATAATTTCTAACAATGACGTGACACCATTGTTGAACGTGCATGTTGCAAGAAATGCAGCAATGTTAACAATTTTGGCCCCGCTGTGCATCGTTTTTGGAGCTATCTTCCAAATAAGTTGGTTGAAGCTCTCATTGCTGTTTTGTGTGTATCCTTTTTGCATTTTACACATTCCGATAAGGCAGAAAACACTGCCAGAAAAACCCGATGTCGATACCCGATGTTTGGATCTTCTGGTGCGGATGTCTCACGATCAGTCTTCAATTTTTTGGCACTGGAACTAATATTCTCGTCGGAAAGTTCTACTTTTTCGGCAGTATTTCGATTTTTGGGCGGTATCTTCTTCTTGCTTCGATCTTTGCGAAAAGATCCGGATTGATGAGCTTCCCGAGAACCTTTATATCTGTTATCCATTTTCCTCAGAATATGTATTCACAGACGAAAACTCACTGTAACGCACAGTTGCACGAACGGCAAGCTACTGACGAAACGCGTCCAATTTCCGGCAAAGAATAACGGTCGTGTGATATTTCCGTTATACCTGGACCCGACCACGCCCGAAAACACAATAGAATCGTAAAACAGGTCTAGACACGCTCTCTTCGAAGGGTCGCTGCCTCTCGGCTCGGCCGCAAAACAGGCGGTACGGCGCGCTCTCGGAGACGGTTTACTCTCTCGGCTGTAACTTCGTTATTTATCGAGATATTGACTTGCAATTTTAACCAGATATTCTTGAGACCTCAAGCATCAAGAAAATGCAAAAAAAAAATCGATTTTTTCGACCATGCTAGGTGTATATCTCCCCTTAAGGTGAACATAAAAGTCCTATACCATTTTGCGATATTTGCAATAATTATCGAGATAGTAATTAAAAAATATTTATGAATGATTACGCGAGATATGATAGATGAGCTGTAGTAGAAACATCTGCTGTCATGTGCTTATACATTAGATCAAACTAAATAAAAATCCTTTTTTTCCTCATAACTTTGCAGATATTTAGTTATTAATTAGATAACATTAATATATTATCGCGAGCGACCATTTGCCAATTTTCTTTAATTAATAATTTAAAAAACTCTGTAAGAGTTTGGTAAGAAAAATGGTAAGAGATTTTTTTGTTCAATTTGACCTAATGCGCAAGCTCATAGTAGATAGTAGATGTCGCCACTACATCTCATCATATCTCGCGTAATCATTTACAAATCTATTTTAATTAATATCAGGATAATTTTTACTATACAACTAATTCCTAAAAACATTAACCTCTTAGCTACGGCAGAACTTTCCGCGGAGCTGTATCTCTGTACGGCAAAGTTCAATGCGGATTGTGCGAAAACAATGTAACATTGCAATTTGTATCTGGTAATGCTTTTCACTATGCAAGTACATTAGAATACAGTGTTAGAAGAATAAATTATAATTTATTAGAAATAAGAATGAACCACTATAGTGGCGTATCGTTCAGAAAGATGATATACACGAAAGCCACTATAGTGGCGTACCGTTCAAAAAGATGATATACGCGAAAGCCACTATAATGGCGTACAGTATCTAAAAGTTTAATAATTATTACTATTAGAATTAAAATTGAATAGTTTTACACTTAATAAATAAGGATTTTTGTGTTTTTGATATGAAAAGTAATCATGGAAAATAATTTATTATTATTTTTGTTTTTCATATTTTATGAGGAGTAAAATCATATAATTATAATAAATCGAGGCAATAAAATTAATTTTTCTACATTTCTTAAACAATTGAAATTTTTATTAAAATCTTGATATACTGAAATTATAAGATCCGAACTAAAATAATAAAAATTTAAACTATTTAAGAAATGTGGACAAATCTTATGGATTAATCTTATTTCCTCGATTTATTAGAATTATATGATTTCATTTCTCGTAAAACGTGAAAATACAAAAATAATAATAAATTATTTTGCATGATTACTTTTTATGTCAAAAACGCGAAAATCCTTATTTCTCAAGTGTGAAACTTAAATTTAATAATTCTAACAGTAATAACTATTAATATTTTTAGGAATCAACTATGTAGTAAAAATCAATATTAACTGTGAAATCGATAACAAATGATGAATAACAATGTGTGTGCTGTATGACTACGGGTTTGAGCGCGCGAATGCTACGCGATATTACTAGTAACCTTTGATCGATTATAATTTAAAAACTATTGTAGCCTCGACATTTTCGTATCAGGATTGTTTACTCTACTTAGAATATGCTATTAAAATATCTTACGGCGGTTGTGAGACACCCTATATATAGACATATATTTTCACGTCGTCGCGCAGCATGATTTTAACCAAAGCATTACTGCATTATACTGCATTCTGTAAACAAAAATAATGTCTGCAGTGAAATGTGGACAAATCTTATGGATTAATCTTATTTCCTCGATTTATTAGAATTATATGATTTAATTTCTCGTAAAACGTGAAAATACAAAAATAATAATAAATTATTTTGTATGATTACTTTTTATGTCAAAAACGCGAAAATCCTTATTTCTCAAGTGTGAAACTTAAATTTAATAATTCTAACAGTAACAATTATTAATATATATATATATGTATATATATATATTTCTTTTTTCTTTTTATATACTACAATTTATGATATATAAGGTGTAGTATATAAAAAAAATCCTTATGATATATAAGGTGTAGTATATAAAAAAAATCCATTATTTTTGCATGAAATTGAAGGCTTTATTTAGCATAGTTAGAATCCGATTTAGATCAAATATACACCGTTTTGTTCGATAACTTGTTGCCATTTTGAAAGTAATTCCATTATGCCTCTCTCATAGAAACCCTTGTCTCTATTGGCAAAAAACTGTCGATTTTCACAAGTTTCTCTTGAGGCGGATTTTTCACCAGCAAAATCATTCGCTATAGACAGGAACTGGTGGTAATCACTTGGTGCCAGGTCCGGACTATAAGGTGGATGCATAAGAACCTTCCAACCAAGCTTCCGGAGCTTCTGGCGAGTCACTATCGATGTATGTGGCCTGGCGTTGTCCTGATGGAACACAATTCCTCTCCTATTGGCCAAAGCTGGCCGCTTCTGGGCGATTGATTCCTTCAGACGGTCCAATTGTTGACAGTACAGGTCCGAATTAAGAGTTTGGCCGTAGGGGAGCAGCTCATAGTGGATGATTCCCTGCCAATCCCACCAAACACACAGCAAAGCCTTCCTGACCGTCAATCCTGGCTTGGCCACCGTTTGCGCCGGCTCACCGCGTTTC